CGGCACCATTTATGCGCTGCTGGGTTTGGCGGACAAACCTATTCGATTACATGTGGTTTGCAGGGTTGCCTCGCGTGAGCCAGAGTCCGCGTGGGAGAAGTTCCAGATGTGCGGGCTTGCACCGGCTGGGATTGCGCAAATATTGGCGGTCGATCGGGACGGAGCCGTTGAGGGCGTCTTCTTGGACAATTGCAACACCATCGGGGTTGATGTGCGGTGCGTGCCGCCCGGCGCGCGCCGGCAGCTGGGCTTGGCCGAGTCCAGCAACTACGCCTGGTGTCGTGTCTTCGAGAAGGTCATCAACATCATTCTGCTTGTTGCCCCTGAGCACTCGGACCTGGCAATCGTTTTAACGAGCCACGCCGTCAATCAATCTGTGCGCCGAGCTGGCCGCGCCCCCTATGCTGCCGCCTTCGGGCGGGTGCCGATGCTGCCCGCCGAGCTCCTGGCAGACGCCGCGTCTGCCGAGCATTGGCGCGACGCCGCGCGGGGCGAGATGCGGGCCTCCGGGGGGCAGCGCCGCGCCGAGGCGCCGAAGGCGATCGCTGACTTGGAGGCCCTACGCGCATCCAAATTACGGCAGCCCGTTAACCACAAGGAGTGCGATTTCCTGGCCGGGCAACGCGTTGCCGCTTGGGGCGAACATGGACCGAAGCGACGAGGTAAGACACCCATTGCCGGATACCGTCCCGCTATCTTTTGCCTCCAGGATTTTTTGGCGAAGGCGAGTCGGCGCGGCTTCGGATCGAACGTCGCGCTGCTCGAGTGGTTCGAGAGCACATCCGTCCAGCCATCGAGTTCGAGGGATGGGCGCCCAGCGAGGATGACCTCGAGTAGTTCAAGAAGGCCGAGCAGGATGTGGCCGACGCTGGGAAGGGCGACGCCTCCGGGATCGACGCGGAGCCGCCGCCTGAAGGACCTCCCGAGCCCGAAGATCCGTAAGCGCGCGCTACCAGGGCTGCCACCGCCGGCAGCGCCGCTCGAGCCCATCCAGGAGGAGCCGACTGCGGTCACTCCTGGAGACAGCGCTGCCAATGAGAACTTCGGGGGCGCATCTGACGATCGCGCCCCCGAACCTGCGCCACCTGCTCCACCTCCCGACCATGCGCTTGCCGACAAGGGCACCGGGCCCTCAGCGCCCTCTCCACGGCCAGACCGCAAGGATGGTCTGCGACGCCAACGCCGAGGAGATCAGCACCTCATGCGAGAGAACCGTCAACTACTCGGCCAGCGCCAGGCAGTTCAGCACCTTCGACAAGAGTTGCACCACCGCCAGAGAAGAGACCGCGATCCGACAGGGTGGGCCGGACGCCCTCAGCACCTTCGAGCCCAGCAGCCTTCGTGCTCAATGAGACGGGCGAGATGGAGTTCATCGACCCCGATGGCTGGGGCGGAGTGGAGGAGCCTGCATTCATTGGGCCCCGGATAATCGCAACCCTGGGCGCGGCGAAGGAGGCCGACGACATGCGCTGCTTGAACCTCGAGACGTTCGAGGGCGACTTGCTCGACGAGATCTCCGAGGACGAGTGCGAGACGGTGGGCGATTGCATAGACTGCTTGAGCATGACTCACCGCGAGCTCAACAGCTTCCTTGACGGGGAGCTGGACACGCACAGCGGGCTGCGCGACGGCCCAGACCGAGGGCGCCGCCACCGTGGACAACCTCTCCGGACGCGAGCAGCGCCAACAGGATCGCGAGATACCTTGGCGGGAGATCGCAGAATGCCCGGAAGAGAAGTTCATGGAGCGCGTGAAGGCGCTGCGCAAGGAGTGCCAAATTGGGGCATTTGGAAGCCTGCACGGGCCCGCTCTCAAGAAGAAGCTGATCGTGTTCAACGAGACCCGCATGTACGGAAATGTTTCACGTGTCTACGTGCGTGCGTTATCGCGACAAGAACTTGGGATTTTCGCCGCTGGAGGCCAAGGCTCGACCAGCCCTGCTGGGCTTTTCAGACCCAGACCTCCAGAAGCTGCCCCGCGACGCCCCAGTGTTGACCGACGCCAGCAAGAGGCTCATTTGTCAAATGACCGAGTCTCGCGGGTGGAGGGCTGGCACTGGCGACGCTGGGAGTGCTTTCTTGCGAGGAGGAGCTCAGAGTGAACGCGGGGGGGCCCGTCTTCATGCTTCATGATCCCGCCGAAGGACCCGGTCGCGCATGCAGCTGGAGCGTTCGACGCCCCCTTGTGCGAGGTGATTGGGAATCTCCATGGTCGATCGACGGCGCCATGCTCATGGGGCAAGCACGCGGTTTCAACGTTGCGATCAGTGGGGGCCGAGCTACACAGCCTCGGGCCTGCTGTGTCCTTGTTGTTATTTCCGAAGATTGAGTTGATTTGCGCAGTGGGAATTCATGTTGATGACGCGATGCGCCGCACCGAGTTTGATTTTGCGCCCACCTATCGAAAATGCGATCAAGTGGCGAGGCTGGCAGTGCAATGATGTTGTGTTTCTTGGTAAACAGCGTCTGGTTTCTGGGAAGTACCCAAGAAGGTTATTTTTGCACCAGGCGGAGTACACCAAGGCGTTGACTGTGACGAAGGTGGGAGTTATGTCGAGCTCGAGGGCCCCCATCGAAGCTTACTCGGTCATGGCGTGAGATCTTGAACTAGCCGGGGGGGTCCCTACAATGGCTTTCAGGACATACACGACCATATTTATCAGCATCAGTGCCATTGGTTCACAGAGCCGATCCCGAACTCAACGGCCTTCGCCAAGCAATGGGGCATGTGGAGTATGCAGACCGCACCCCAACTACAGGACTTTAGGTAGTCAGCACTGCCTTGGATAATGCTTGCTTTGTGAGTTTCGCCGACAGGGCTTGGGCTCGCGCTCCAGGACTAAAGACGCAGATCGGTGCCTTTGTTTTTCTGGCAGATCAGAAGCAACATCACGCGCATTGTTGTTCCAGAAGCCCACGAGGACACCGAGAGTGGTCCGATCTACACTTGTGAGAGAAGCCATCGCTCAATATTTGGGATTTGACTACGCGTCCTATTTATCTTAGCTTCTGTCCGAGATGTTCACTGGTAAACTGGCTGGCCGCCATGCTCCGATCTGCGAAGTGATCACCGCGACGGATTGCAAGTCGTTGCGCGACGCTCTGCGTCAGCTCACCCCAAGCTTGGCCGAGCAAAGGACAGTGATTGATGTGATTTCAATTCGAGACGAGGTTTCAGTCAATAATGTCCGGTGGATTCCCACAACTCACATGATTGCCGACGGGATGACCAAGGAAGACGCCAAGCTGAGCGAGACGCCCATTCAGTTTCTGGCCGACTCGCTGCTATCGTTGGTGGGTTCGATTTCGTGTGAAGAGTTGAGTGGTGGAGACGGTCTCCACCAGCGCAAGTGATTGATCCGTTCGTGTTGGGAGTCGCGTTCCACTTCCATCCGCTTGGTTCTGCCCAAAATGCTGAGTTTTCTGATTTGTTTCATATTATATCAGTCGCTTCGCGACTTGAGGCGATGCTCTGCGTATCGATATTGCATATTTCCCATATTTGTCGCTGCGCGACCATGTTTTACGCCTTGCGCGCAGGCTAGGTTGGCTAACAATATCTTATGAGCAGGACCACAGAGAACCTCGGGAGTACAATAGTCACTATATGTATTTGCACTTCCTGGTTCCTGCTAGTGCCGCTGCTGCTCTGACCCCTCGTGCCGTCATACCTTTTGTGGTTCGATGTGCCCCCTGTTTACCCGCTACGCAGATTCATATATCATTGCATTGCGAGACGGTCTTGGGAACATATACGCGAGTCATCAGCGTCAGCGTGTGCGCTGCAGGCGGGACAAGACGGGATGAGGAGGGAGGATCCTCCTCTTCCTTCTCCTCCTCCTCCTGCTCCTCCTCCTCCTTTTCTTCGAGGAAGAGGAGGAGGAGGAGCAGGAGGAGGAGGAGGAGGAAGAGGAGGAGGATGAAGAGGAGGAGGAGGAGGAGGAGGAGGAAAAGGAGGAAAAGGAGGAGGAGGAGGAGGAGGACGGCGTAGGAGGAGGAGGAGGCGGTGCTGGGACGCAGATGGTGCCGTCCGTGTTCGCGCGGCTGCAGCCTGCAACCCCCTAGGAGGCAATGAGAAGCAGCAGCAGGCTGGAAAGCATCGGCGAAGGAAAACGTGCCCATCCACGGGGCGCGCCGCATGGCCTCCTCGTCGCGGGCCGCCTGCAGCCTGGCGGACCGGCGACGCGCCAACTCGCGGCTGGAGGCGACACGTTGCAGCGATGCAAGCTAGGTACGCGCGCGCGCCGTATCTGACATTTCACCTTTCCCGCATGTCTTCCCATTGCGATGACTGCACTCTATCCGCCCATGGGTGTCCTAGCGGACCTTGATCCCCCAAGTGGCCTCATCGTGTGATGCGCAATTCGAAAGGGGAGCTCTGTACATTGGAGGAGGGGGAAGAGGATGAGGTGGTGGTTGTGGATGGGCATGAGAATGAGCAGGAGGAACAGGATAACGATGAGGAAGGAGGAGAAGGAGCAGGAGGAGTAGGAGATGAATAGCAGCAGTTGACCAGAGGAAGGAGGAGAAGGTGGAGGAGGAGGACGGGGAGGCGAAAGGAGCTGGGCGGCAACGACGAGGAAGGAATCGGATCCAGAAACGTGGCCCGCGCTGGGGGAGAGCGCCGTTCTGAACGACGGAAGCAAAGCGGCGATCCTGAAATATGGCCACCGTTGCAGCGAGAACGCCATCTTTCAAAGGCCGAGAATCTTGTGACGGGGAAGAGTCATATCGAAAGCCACCTCGGGACAATGCTGTGTGTAAGAAGCAGCGTGCGAGAGAGGTTGGCGAAAACAAACACCTGTAGAGAGGATGGGGAGATACAGCCAAGACGCTGACATAAGGAACACTTTGGGCTGAGGAGAGGCTATGATGTTCGGGCCGTTCCTCAGATCTAGGTCGGGGAACCAATTTGTGGCCGAGGCTCATCGTAGCCAGAAATCCCCTTTCGTTCTTTATCTGGCGTCCCTTATGATGATAGCACGATGACTGTATGGTTTCCAAGAACCTCGGCGGCTCAAAGGGGGCGAGGGCGGATCCTGGTGCCACGGACCTGGCGCGAGCCGGGGGTGCGGCGGCATGGGCGACCCGACCGTGTTGAGGGAGAGCTCTCTAGAGGACCGGGGGTTGACATGTTGGATGCTCATATTGGGGATCTTCCTGGGGCCCATCGCGAGCTGATTTGCTCGACTCAGTTCGGCTCATGTTCGACTCTAGCTCGACTCAAGTTCGACTCCAGTCGACAGACGTTCGACGCAGCATCGACACATGAGTGGAGCGAGAGGCTCCAGGAAGGTCCCCAGAACGAGCATCTGACACAGCCCAGCCCACCCCCTACTCTGCCAAGTCGATCGGCGAATCCGCCCGCGGGGCCACCCTTCGGCTTCTGGATCGTGGGCGGCGCGGGCCCGCCACTCTTGCAGGCGCTCGCGCCCACGGGGTCTGGTCCCAAAGGGCCGTTCTCCCCCCAGAGGGTTCTCTGCCGAAGGCGCCCTGCCCGGCCCCCGACAGGAGCTGCCCGGGCCGCCCGAGGAGGCGGCGCTGCCGGCGGCGCTGCCCGGGGACCCCGCGCCGGCCCGGGGAGGCGGGGCGCCCCCCCCCGAGAAGAAGAAGCCGCTGCCGGTGGCGCTGCCGCCGCTGGAGGAGGTGGCGTTGCCGCCTGCCCGAGGTGACGAGCCGAGGCCGCCGCCCGGGCCGCCACCGCCGGCGGAGGACCCGGGTCCAGGCCTCCCCAGATGGGGTCGGAGGGAGCGGGGCCGCATTGCCGATGCATCGGCGATGCGGCTCGATGTGGAGCTCGGTTCGCCCCACGCCGACGTCGCGGATGCATCGGCGACGCGGCGCGATCACCCGACCCCATCTGGGAGGCCTTATAACAGGAGCGGGGGCGGGACGAGCGGGGAGGAAGGCCGAAGACAGCAGCCTCGCCGCCAAGGCACAGTGGGTCCTGGGGGAAGCGGGCCCTGAGGCTTTTCGCCGTCTTCGGCCTCTGGGGTTATGATGCTCCAACCTACTTTAGCCTTGATCACCAGGAAGAATTTCGAGAGCCCAGAGATCCGTACCGAAACTCAAGGGTTTTCACGTGCCGGGCCCTAAGAGACACTGTTTCGACACTCTTTTGACAGTTTTCTGGGTGTTCGAAATTATTTCTGGGATGCGGTCCTTCGTCGCTGGGGGCCGTCGACACAACGGCTCAGGATGATGGACTGGTCCCGTGGGAAGAAGCCCCCAGATCCAGGACCCGTTCTGGCGACCATTTCCGAACCCTACTCCTGTGGGTCCAGTCGGCGCCGGGGTATCGGACACTTCCGCTGGAGTCCACCTGGCCGCAGACATCTTTCGAATCCTGACCCGCAGCCGGCGTCTCAGAAATTTGTCACGCTTCGCGTATCCCCACCCTTCTGGATGGGCGGCCCATCGCCGCGGTTTGCTACGCCAAGGGCGTAGGCACACCTGGCCCGCTGCCTCTCTGACTGGGCCGACGGCTTCACCCGATCAGCTCCGCTCACCAGTGCCACGCGTCACTATCTCGTGTTGCACGGTTTCGGAGTATGAAGGTTCGGCTCTCTCTCGTTGCTCTCCCGCACATTCAGGTGTGCGGCCTTCCCTGGGACTTTGTGACTGTGATGGATTTGCCGTCTTGGGTATACGACGGTTGCTGTCCTCCCGAGCGCTCACACATGGTTGAGTTAGTCGCCTGGCGCTACGTCACATAGTTGTTCGGTGCACGTCACTCTTGAGCCCTGCGTTCTCGCTGTGTTTATCGTGTACCCTTCTGCGTTTGACCAGTTTGCTGGTTCTCTGTACGCAGGCGCATCGCTCTGCCGTGGTTGGGTCTTCTCTGGCTACTCTGGCCTAGACCCTTTGCGTGGATGCGCGTTCTGATGCTGCGACGGTTCGCTGGCGCCGTCAGAACCTTTCTCCTGCTGGACGACGTCACCAGTACTGCCTGATCATACCCGTCAGACTCCCTGGGTGACCTTCCTGCACGGTGATAGTCCCTACCACGCGGTCTTTCTTACTCGGACGCGACGGGACGTACTGCGCGCCATTTTGGCTGCGCTTGGCTCGCCTCAGGGCTGACCTCACAGACTCCCTGGGTTGCAGCTTGCACGTTTGTCTCAGGTGACTGACCTTTCAGACTCCCTGGGATTGCACGACGCTGGCCCCTCAGACACCCTGGGTTGCCGCTCCCTGCCGCCTGAGCCGCGGCTCCGCGCGCGCTCGGGAATTTTGCCTCGGCCGCGGCCCGACCGTGACTGCTCGCCGCTGTGTGCTTCCGCCTGCGGCCGTAAAAAACATATATCCCCACCCTTCGCGCCGCCGCGCCATTTTGGCTGCGCCTACTTGATGGTCGCCACCGGGATTTCCACGACACCGGGTTGGGAGTTTCGTTTTTGGTTATTTTTCTGAGTTGCTGCCCGCGCGCTCGCTTCGCTTGCCTTTCTTTTCTTGCTGCCTAGTCGCGGCCCCGCTAGTGTTCGGACGGCTTTCGACCTGCTTCGCGAGCCCGCAGACCAGAACAAGCATCCTGGTCCTCCTTCCATGTCCTACATGTTCGGCATGGTCCTCCCATCAAATCCTACCTGCACGGCAAGTTTGGCGCTCTGGTTCGCCGCCTCCACCTCCCTGGGTAAGCGCAGCGTCCGCCTCGCCTTCGCCTACATGGACTGCGTGTTCGACAAGGTTGCCTGGGGTACGGATGGGCCTCGCGTCACGGCCATCCTAGAGCTGCGAGGGCCCATCCACTGTCGATTCTGGGTTCGCTTGCTCGGCTTCGTGCTCGGCACCTACCTCGTGTTCCTGGTGCCGCTCCGCCTCTTCGTGGGATTTTGGCAGCGCTGAGTTCCGCCTCGCCCCGGCGCTGCTCGCAGCTAGATTTTTTCTTTCGCAGGTGGCATGGCCTGCCCCTGTTTGCCCGGCGTCCGACTCGCATCGGGCGCGCGCGTGCCGAAAAGTACCCCCACCAGTCCATTTAGAAGCCTTCCTTGTGAGAGCCGATGGGAACATGATCGACCCACGAACCCAGAAAAAGGATTGAGAACTGCGAGGCGTGGAACTGTTTCTATGGACCTCGATTGCAGATGCAATTGGGCGATGCCAAGGGGACATGCCTGGGGGACGCGCTGCGGAACGTCCCAAAGGACGTGCCAAGGGGACGCGCTACTGAACGTGGCAGTGAACGTGCCGCGGGACGTGCCAGAGGACGCGCCGCGCGAACGGCCAGGTGGACGCGCCACGGGACGCGCCAAGGGGCACGCCAGGGAACGTGCCAGGCGACACGCCAAGGGACGTGCCAGGGAACGCGTCAGTGAACGTGCCACGGGACGTGGCACGGGACGCGCCAAGGGACGCGCCGCGGTTCTTCTGGAGCCTAGGATTTTCGCGCCCCGTTATTAATCGAGGTCCCAGGGCCAGGAGCCCTCGTACATTACTGCGCTGCGTCCGCGCTCCCAGGGCCGCGCTCCTTCGTGAACTACGCAGTGTCCGCGCCCCCAGAGGCAATTCCGAATACATTGGATTGCGTCCGCCCCGCCAGGGCCATGATCCCTCGTAAATTAAACCGCGTCCGCGCTCCCACGGCCACGACCCATTACAACATTACGCTGCGTCCGCGCTCCCAGGGCCACGTTCCCCAGTAAATTACGCTGCGTCCGCTCTCCCTGGGCCACGATTTGTCGTAAACTACGCTGCGTCCGCGCCCCCAGGGCCACGATCCATCGTACATTACGCAGAGTCCGCGCTCCCAGGGCCACGATCCCTAGTAAAGTACGCTGGGTTCCTTCCCGCTTCCAGGGCCAGGACCCCTCGTCAATTGCACAGCGTCCGCGCTCCCAGGGCCAGGATCGCTGCAAAACAAGCGTTTCGCCCGAGACATCCTCCGAAATTCGGCATGCAGGATGCGTTATCCTCCGGCGGGCACGCAAAAAAGCCAACCTTCCTTTGCAAAACAAGCGCGGGCCTCGAGACAGCCTCGAAATTCCTGCGCGCGGGATGCGCCATCCTCGAACGGGCATGCAAAATGCTATTATTCCGTAGTTTTGACGCGGATTCTGCGCAACAAAACCCTCCACACCTTTTTTTTGCTGCGAGAGAAGACGGGTGTCGTATCTGCGGAGCCCGTCATTGATCGAGGATCTGAGATAGGGTACGCATTTTCCTCGAGCGCACGCGCGAAACGCATCTCTACATAATCAAATGTCACTGTGCTACTAATCGCAAATAGTCCCGCTGGCCCATCTCAAGTCATGGCTGGGGGGAATTAGCCCAGTAGAAAAGAAGCTTGGGCTCAGGCCCTTTTCCGGAAAAAAGATTCCCTGACAGATCGCGCACATCCCCAACAAATTTCAGGGAGGGGAGGGGGAGGGTTCCCCTCCCCTGAGGGAAGGGGGTTTTGGAAGAGGAAAGAAAGAACTCGTTTGACAGCCCTGGCCGTGGAATTTGATTTGCAGGGGTCAAGATCATGAGTGGTTGCCTGCCGTTTCCTTCATGCCAACGGCTCCTCTCCACTCCGCTCTTGGGCAGGGTTTGGTGCTGGTCCCGCCGCGGACGCCGCCGATCCGGGGGCGAACGCCGCCCAGCCCGACAGCGGCCGCTGTCGGTCCTGGACAACGTTCGGAGGAGGACGACGGTTCCGATCCCCCTCATTCCTCTGCCCTTCCTTCCTTTCAGGAGGGAGGAGCACAATCCGAGGAGGAAGAGGGGGTGACGGAAGGGGAAGGAGGTGGACTTGGATATAATCAGAGTGAGGGGGCCGAAGAGTCATTCGTTGTCCCTGGGTGCGTGGCAGAAGTGGCGTTCCCTTCGGCGGATTCTACTTGTTGTGTCGATGTTGCGTCGTCGTCGCTTTCGCCCGCGACCCACCCGCGACCCACCCCGCGCCAGCCCCTTCACTCTTGTCCGCAATTGCGGGGTGTTGCGTGTGATAATTGCTCGCGTCCCATCCGAGCAACGCAGAAAACATGATCGACCCACGAACCTGGAAAGGAATATAGAAATGTAAGGCATGGCAACGTTTCAAAGACACTTGATTGGGCGACGGGCAAATGTAATGCTGAATGTATCGATTGTGATGTAACGTGCCGAGGGCTGTGCTGTGCAGCGCCGTGCTGAATTGCGACGTCCTCCTACGCATCCGAGCCCTGACCGGACTGATCTGGATCTTAAGCTCGAGTTGCCTGAGCACATAGTAGCTGCCCCCGAGCTGATTGACAGGGGGACATGCTAGGAGGACGCGCCGCGCAACGTCCCAAGGGACGCGCCAGGCGACGTGCCAGGGGACGTGCCACGGGGACGCACCGCGGGACGTGCCAAAGGGACGCGCTGCGCAACGTGCTAAGGGACGTGCCACGGGACGTGCCAGGGAGGCGCCGCGCGACGTGCCAGGAGGACTCGCCACGGGACGCGCCACGGAACGTGCCATGGAACGTGCCAGGTTGCAATGCTGAGTGTATCGATCTTGACGTACCGTGCCGAGGGCTGTGCTGGGGCCTATTGGGGCCTCCTGGGGCGTGAACCCATATGTTTTTGCCTTTCTCCTGCCCTGGGGCGTTAGGATCCAGTGTGCTTTCACGTTTGTCCCGCCATGGGGCGTTAGGAACCCATGTGTGTTCACGCTTCTCCCGCCATGGGGCGTTTGGAACTCATGTGTCTTCACGTTTCTCCCGCCCTGGGGCGTTAGGAACCATGTGTTGTCACGCTTCTCCCGCCCTGGGGCGTGGACAAGTGAAAACACGTGGTTCCAGCTCGGGACCACCATGTTAGATACCCACCTGGGTGGCTTGGACACGTGAATACATGTGGTCCCAGCTCGAAAACGCAATTACACCTGAGAAAACCCCAATCAGTGGATGATTCGAAAATTAATATTCTGGATCTTGAGATCGATTGTGAGATCGATCATGAGATCGATGGTGGAATCGATAGTGAGGACGATTGTAAGGTCGATCGTGAGACCGAGAGTGAAATCGATTCAATGAGATCGATTGTGAGATCGATGGTGAGATCGATAGAGAAGTGGGTAATGAGATCGATGGTGAGACCGATCGATAAGAAGATCGACCAGGAACCCAGGAACCTGGGAACCTTGCCGCCCTCCGAAATCGGCCCAGAACCCGGAACCGGGAACCTGGGAACCCGGAACCGGGAACTTGGGAACCCAGCGTGCGACCAAAATCGGCGGGAAATTTTCGCCAAATCCTTCAACCTCCGCGAGGACCCCTTCAGAGCAAGCACTGATTGGGGAATTAAAAATATTCCTTATGTGGCCTGGGCCCGTGAAAACACGTGGTTCCAGCTCTGGACCACCATGTTAGATACCCCCCATGGGTGGCCTGGACGCGTGAAAACACATGGTTCCAGCTCGGGACCACCACGTTAGATACCCCCCTCTGCGTGGCCTGGATACGCTGAATTCGCGTTCCCGCTCGAGACATCGTCGCAATGTCTTTCCTGGAGAGACCCCCAAAGCGCCACCCGCTGTCCAGAGCAAGAAAACATAACCTGTCTGTATTTGGATATGTGTTTGGGTAGCGATTTTTGCCCCCCCGTGCGTTTTCTGATAATTCGGCATGGGGCCCGACGCCATGTTAGATACCCCCTGGGCAGCCTGGACACGTAAAAAAGCATGGTTCCAGTTCGGCACAATCAGGTTCGATACCCCACTGGGTGGACTGGACACATAAAAACACGTGGATCCAGCTTTGGGCTACCATGTTAGATACCCTCTGGGTGGCTTGGACACGTGAAAACACGTGGTCCTTGCTCGGGGCAACCATGTTCGATACCCCCCATGGGTGGGTGCCAGCTTTGGGCACCCAAATATATCTACAACCTTGAGTGACCTGGACACGTTACATCACGTGGTCCTTGCTCGGGGAAACCATTGTTCGATACCTCCCTGGGTGGCCTGGACACGTAAAAACACGCGGTGCCAGCTCTGAGCACCCAAACATAGATATACCCTTGGACACGTTAAAACACGTGGTTCTTGGTCGGAACAACCATGTTAGATACCCCCCTGGGTGGCCTGGAGACGTAACAACACATGGTGCCAGCTCGGGACACCATGCTAGATACACCCCTGAGTTGCCTGGACACGTGAAAACACGTTGTTCCAGCTCGGGGCCACCATGTTAGATCCCCCCGTGGGTGGTCCAGACACGTAAAAACACATGACCCCAGCTAAGGACAACCATGTTAGATACCCTCCTGGGTGACCTGGGCCCTCGTGGGGCCTCCTGGAGAGGGCTATGTATAGGAACATACGTAAAAAACGTTTTTCCGTTCCGGGCCTCAGGGCCACAGGAAGCGACAGGATGCCCATGTTAGATACCCCCTTGTTGGCCTGGACACATAAAAACACGTTTTTCCAGCGAGGACCGCCGTGTTAGACACCTCCTTGGGTGGCCTGGACACGTGAAAATACGTGGCACGTGGTTCCAACGCAGGACCACAATTTTAGATACCCCCCTGGGTGGTGTGGACACGTGAAAACACATGGTACCAGCTCGGGACCACCATGTTAGATACCCACGTGGGTGGCCTGGACACGTGAAACTACGTGGTACCAGCTCGGGAACACCATGTTAGATACCCCCCTGTGTGGCCGAAAACACGTGGTTCCAGCTCGGGACCACCATGTTTTACCCCCCCCTATGTGGCCCGGACCAGTAAAAGCAAATGGTTCCAGCTGGGACCACAACGTTAGATACCTTCCTGGGTGGCCCGGACGCGTGAAAACACGTGGTTCCAGCTCGCACGGGATGCAATTCTTCGACCCAAATGCGTCCCGCACCTTTTGATTTATCGATCGGGATTGCAAAAACAAGCGTTTCGCTAGGGACATCCTCGATTTTCAATTCCGCCGGCCTTCTTCGACTTCCTCATTTATCGCAGAGTAATTCCGCCGGCCCACCTCAAGTCGGTGCCGGGGGGGAGCAACACTAAGAGAGAACCCTGGGCCTCTGCCCTTTCCGGGAAACAGGGTCGTCTGCGCCGACGTTGGCGCGCAAGCTGCCCGCGCAAGGTCGCGCGTGAGCGCCGTGTCGTTTCCGATGTGGCGTGCCGCCCTGGCGGCCCGCGTAAGCCGCGGCGTAAGGTCGCTACGTCCTCTCGCGTAAGGCCCCTGACCTCTCGCCTCCCATCTGCGCCCCCGTCGCAGAGGAGGCCGCGCCAGCCCGAGAGGACGAGGCACGGGCGCCAGAGTGCCTCCAGCCCCACGAGCTCTGGGCCTCCGAGGAGCCTCGCCGCGGCGGTGCTCGAGCTGGCCGCGGCGGCGCTCCTCGGAGGCCCTCGAGAGCACATCGCGGTGCTGCAGTGAGGGGCTCGGGGCTCCGTGCGAGGCGGGCGGCTGGCCTGGCGAGGAGGAGGGCCCGGGGCGGGCCCGGCCCAGCTCATCTGCGACCCGGAATTCTCAGTCACGGTGCTCGCTCGCGCCAGAGTTCGGTCGCGACCAGGGGGTGTTCGAATCTCGGCAACGCAGAGACGGCGCTCTGGGGTCCAAGCGAGGGTCTCGAAGTCGTCGACGGCTCGAGTTCTCGACCCGAGGCCGAATTTCAGTTGCCGCCGGTTCGTCCAGAGCGTTACGGGAAATGTTCGGTAACGGACGATCTGGGAGAAGGGGCCCGGTCCAGCGAGTCGTCGTCGTCGTCGTCGTCGTCGTCGTCGTCGTCGTCGTCGTCGTCGTCGTCGTCGTCGTCGTCGTCGCCCGAGGAGTGCCCGAGGGGCGGCGGGCCCGTGAGCCCGAGAGTCAGGGAGGAGCCTGGCGGGCCGGGGGAGGCCCGGGGCGGGCCCGAGGATCGGCCATGCGTAAGAGGGGTCCTTCGCCGGAGTGACCTTCGGTGCGTGCCCGCGGGTACTCCCCGATCGCTGAACGAGGTGCGACGGCAGCGGTTGGCGCGCTTGGTTTTGGCCCCTTCACGCCCGCCCCCTCACATCCGCGCACCGGTGGTCACTCTTGCCAGGGTCACTCTGGCGTGTATCCGACCGAGGAGCGCCAGGGGCGGGCCCGAGAGCGCGACGGGCCCGCGCCGGCCGAGGGCGCGGTCGAGGGTGCGGCCGAGGCCATGGCCGAGGCCGTAGCAGGGCGGCTCCGCGAGGTCGTGCGGCGGGCGGTGCAGGAGCCAGGCCTCCCAGATGGGGTCGGAGTAGGTGGGTGTTGTAGCAAAGCATGGGGGCCTCGTGAGTCCTCGTGTTTCCCTCTCTGGGGTGCGTCTGCGTGCGCTAGCGTTGGGTGGTCGATCAGAGAGCGCTGATTTGGCGTAGATTGAGCGTCGCGCGGCGTCGATCGGCACCGATTAGCGTCGATTCGCGCGAGCCAGCAAGATGACATGGGAGGCTCCCATGAGTTTCCACAGAAGGATCAGAGTTTGGGCTCAGCGTATCGCTCCTCCAGTGCTGGCCCACCACGCGTCGGCGCGACACGCTGTCCACTTCCCGGCCACTCAACGTCCACGTCCTAAGCCTTGCTGGTCCTCCAGCCCCCGCGGTACGGAGCCACACGCTATCCGTTCGCCAGGAACGGCGCGTCGCAGGGGCCGCTGCCGCGACACGCTAAGCAAACGTGATCGACCCACGAACTCAGAAAGGAATATAGACATGTAAGGCATGGCAACGTTTCAAAGACACTTGATTGGGCGACGGGCAAACGCAATGCTGAGTGTTTCGATCTTGATGCACCGTGCCGAGGGCTGTGCTGTGCAGCGCCGTGCTGAATTGCGATGTGCCATGCCGCGATTGTGCTCTATAGCGTTGTGTATCGAGTCCTCATTTGCATCCGAGTCCTGACCGAACTGATCTGGATCTTAAGCTCGAGCTGCCTCAGCACATAGTAGCTGCCCCAGAGCTAATTGACAGGGGAACATGCCAGGAGGACGCGCCGCGGAACGTCCCAAGGGACGCGCCAGGCGACGTGCCAAGGGACGTGCCACGAAGACGCACCGCGGGACGTGCCAAGGGGACGCGCTACGGAACGTGCCAATGGACGTGCCACGGGACGCGCTCCCAGGCCCACTATCCCTTGTAAGTTACGCTGCGTCCGCGCTCCCAGGGCCACGATCCCTCGTAGATTACATTGGGGTCGCGCTCCCAGGGCCCCGTCCCCTTGTAAATTACGCTGCGTCCGCGCTCCCAGGGCCAAGATCCATCGTAAATCACGCTGCGTCCGAGCCCCCAGGGCCCCGATCCTTTGTATTTTACGCTGCGTCCGCGCTCCAAGGGCTACGATCCATTGTAAATTACATTGCGTCCAAGCTCCCAAGGCCCCGACCCCTTGTAAATTATGCTGCGCCCGCGCTCCGAGGGCCACGATCCTTCGCAAATTACGCGTGTTCCGCGCTCCAAACGCCACGATCCCTCGTATATTACGCCGCGTCCGCGCTCCCACGGCCTCCTAGGGCATGCTGGGACGCCCAGGTCTCTGAAGTTTTGCAAAATAGCAAGCGTTTCGCTCGAGACGTCCTCGATTTTTTGGCGCGGGGGGCGCACCATCCTCGAGCGGGCACGCAACATGATCGACCCACGAACCCGGAAAGGAATGTAGAACTGTAACACATGGCAGCGTTTTCAAAGACACCTGATTGGGTGACGGGCAAACGCAATACTGAAGGTATCGATCTTGATGTACCCTGCCGAGGGCTGTGCTGTGCTGCGCCGTGCTGAATTGCGATGTGCCATGGCGCGACTGTGCTCTATAGCCTCGTGGATCGAGTCCTCCTTTGCATCCGAGTCCTGACCGAACTGATCTGGATCTTAAGCTCGAGCTGCCTGAACACATAGTAGCTGCCCCAGAGCTAATGGACAGGGGAACATGCCAGGAGGACGCGCCGCGAAACGTCCCAAGGGATGCGCCAGGCGACGTGCCAGGGGACGTGCCATGGGGTCGCACCGCGGGACGTGCCAAGGGGACGCGCTACGGAACGTGCCAATGGATGTGCCACGGGATGTGCCAGGGGACGCGCGACGCGACGTGCCAGGGGGACTCGCCAAAGGACGCCCCACGGAACGTGCCAAGGAACGTGCCAAGTTGCAATGCTGAGTGCATCGACCTTGATGTACCGTGCCGAAATCAGTGCTGTGCTGCGCCGTGCTGAATTGCGATGTGCCATGGCGCGATTGTGCTCTATAGCCTCGTGGATCGAGTCCTCCTTTGCATCCGAGTCCTGACCGAACTGATCTGGATCTTAAGCTCGAGCTGCCTGAACACATAGTAGCTGCCCCAGAGCTAATGGACAGGGGAACATGCCAGGAGGACGCGACGCAGAACGTCTCAAGGGACGCGCCAAGCGACGTGCCAAGGGACGTGCCATGGGGACGCATCGCGGGACCTGCCAAGGGGACGCGCTACGGAACGTGCTGGGGACAAGCGTTTCGCTCGAGACATCCTGTCAAAATCATCTGAAGTCCTACGCGCGGGACGCTGCACGCGCGAGACATCCTCGGAATTCCTGCGAGCGGGACGTGAAAACAAGCATTTCGCCTGAGACATCCTTTGAATTCTGGCCCCCCACGAGGCCACCGCTCGAGACATCCTCCAATTTTGCAAAACCAGCGTTTCGCTCGAGACATCCTCAACAAATTATGAAAAACAAGCGTTTCGCTCGAGACATCCTGTCAAAATCCCAAGAAATCCAAATACCCGCGCGCGGGACGCGGCACGCGCGAGACATCCTTGGAATTCCTGCGCGAGGGGCGCTTTTCCGTGTCGCGGTCGGCTCTGCAAAACCAGCGTGTCGCTCGAGACATCCTCAACAAATTCTGAAACCAAGCGTTTCGCTCGAGACATCCCCAACTCTGCAAAACCAGCGTCTCGCTCGAGACATCCTCAACAAATTCTGAAAAACAAGCGTTTCGCTCGAGACATCCTCAAAAATAATTTCGCCGGCCCTACTCCGTGCGTGCCCGCTCGCAAAATAATTTCGCCGGCCCAAGTCGCAGGGGGGCCCGGGGGTTAACTTACTAAAAGAGAACCCTGGGCCCGCGCCCTTTCCGGGAAAATGTCAACATGTTCACGCTCTAGCAGAACATGTTTGATACCCCCCTGTGTGGCCGAGGGAATCCTGGAAAAACTAGCGAATTAGTCGAGACATCCTCGAAATTCCTGCGCGCGGGACGCGGCACGCGCGAGACATCCTCGGACTTCCTGCGCGCGGGACGCTTTTCCGTGTCGCGGTCGGGGCTCCAGACATCGTTTTTTTTGTTCGAGGATTCTGTTGAAAATGCCCCGCATTTTTTACCGAAGGAAACGGTGGTCCGCGGACCCCGTTATAAATTGAGGATCCAAGTTGGGGGGCTCACTTTCCTCGAGCGGGCACGCGCGAAACGCATTTTGTTCACGCCAAATTGGACTTTACCTAGTATTTTATCGAGCGGAAATCCGCTGGCCTCCTTCAAGTTAAAACTGTGGGTAAACCTACCAAAAGAGAACCCTGGGTCGGAGCCCTTTCCAGGAAAAATCCCGACCTTAGATGAAGTCGGAGAATCGCGCGGCATCGCCGATGCATCGCCGATGCGGCTCGGTGTGGGGCCCGATGCTCTTCACGCCGACGTCGCGGATGCATCGCCGATGCGGTGCAATCCTCCGACCCCATTTCTTCGGACTCCATCTTGGAGGCCTCAACAGGAGCAGGTGGCGGAGCTGCGAGCCGCGCTGCCGGCGGCACTGGCCCAAGCCCTGGCGGCGGCGAGCCTGGACTCGAGATTGGCGGGTCGAGGTCCAAGGTCGGTTTTCGGAGACTTGTTGTGTTGCTTGTGTGTTCCTACCTCCGGTAGGACAGCTACTGCTGCCATGCCGAACCCTGGAGACGCGTAGCACGGCAGTGCGTACAGTCGAACGCGCTGTGTTCGTCTTCATCGCTCACTATGTGCGTGCGCGTACGGCTGCTTACTCGGTGTGTGCGTGTTTGTGTGTGTGTATATATATATATATATGTGTGTGTGTGTGTGTGTGTGTCTGTGAGTGTGTGTGTCTGTGTGTGTACGCGTGTGTGTTAGGGGGGGCGCGTGCGTGCGTCCGTGCGTGCGTGCGTCCGTGCGTGCGTGCGTGCGGGTGGGCGGGCGGGCGGGCGGGCTGGCGGGCGGGCGTGCGGGCGTGCGTGTGTGCCTTCGTGCGTGCGTGCGTGCGTGCCTTCGTGCGTGCGTGCGTGCGTGCGTGCGTGTACGTGTGCGTGTGCGTGTGTATGTGTGCGTGTGTATGTGTGTGTGTGTGTGTGTGTATGTGTGTGTGCGTGTGTGTGTGTGTGTGTGTGTGTGTGTGTGTGTGTGTGTGTGTGCGTGTGTGTGTGTGTGTGTGTGTGTGAAGCGGCTTGAGGGCTCGGCCTTGAGACACGCGGGTGCGCCAGCTTCTACGACCTTGCTACGCCATGTCGTTGCGCGCGGGGCCGCGACGCCAAAAGGCGTGTGTGTGTGTGTGTGGGTCCTGGACCAAGGCGGCGACCACTCCAGCTCCGACGGCGGGGGGTACCATAGCCCACACCTCCTCCGCCCTGCCTCGGCGGGGGAGTGCGACGCTCCAGATCCGAACCCTCCAAAACCTGACCCTCCAGCCCTAGCAGCTCGGTCGGACATGGACGACCTCCGCGCGCTCACGGAGCGGCAGTTGCACTTCCTGGTGCAGGGGCAGCTTTTTGCTTCAGGGGGACACGAGGGCAGGCGGTGACAACCAGAGGCGCCCTCTGCGCATACTCTGGAACGCCTTCATGGCTCAGCACCGCCCGACTCTCCGCCGCGATCTTCGCACGGTCCTTCCTTGCGACAGGGCTGTACAACTTGGCTTCTTGGGGTCGCTCATGGACGCCCGCATTACGCTGGCCCCTACTGCCCACACCTTCGCGTCCGATGCTGACGGTGTGGATCCACCCCTGGGCGGTGGCTCTCGTGTGGATCCTCCCCCGGAGCCCCGCCGCAATCAGAGACCACGGTCGCCACCCAGGCCCCACAGGGGTCGGCGCTGCAGGTCACGACCCGCCGACGAGGGCGCGGAAAGGGGCCACGGCTATCGCGCCACAGCAGCGCTCCCCCGGCCCGGGCGCTCAGCAGGGCGGACCCGCAACACGCGCCTGCCGCCCGCGGTGTCGCAGGCCCATTCCTTTGGTCCCCCCGCCGGACCCGCGGAGCCCTTCGGCCACCTCGCCCGCTGCCCCATCCCTGAGCTCGCACACCACGACAAGGCATGCGTCGCCAAGCACTTTGCCCAGCTGGGCTCCGTGCAGACCGCCATGTGGCGGGACTTCCTCAAGCACAAGGTGAAGCAGGCCGACCCTCTGCTGTGCCCTAGCCAGCTGCCTCACCAATCTCCTTGAGCGCGCATTTGGCTCCCAAACTAAGAAAGGCGCACGCCCAGCCAAGACAGTCCCAGCGACCGGCTGCCCTCGTGGGTACGACCCGGCCACCGCCTTCTCGCCTCCAGATCTCCTGGCGCGCCTTGCCGACGCCCTGATCCTCGCTGACCAGCTGGACATCCGGCGCGAGTTCCTCCATGTGGCCTGTCCGCCTGGGACACTCGCCCCCCGCCTCGACCCCAAGCTTAACCCCCCTGCGCTTGTGGCCGCGGCCGTGGACGGCTTCGAAATGCACTGGCTCGACGGTTTGCGGACTCGGACGCTCGCAGAGCAGCGCGAGCTCGCCCAGGAGCTCGTCAGAGCACAGCCCGAGGCCGGCAGCGCTATGTTTTCTGACTCAAGAGACGGAAGCGGTTCTGTGGGCCATCTCCGGTCCGGCCCCGGACCCTGTTCCCGGGTCCCTGCCCCTGCGCCGGGTGCGGCGCTGGCCTCTGCCCCAGCCCACCCGCCCTCTGGCCCCATCGGGTCCTGGGCCTGGTGTGGAGCCCGCCGTCTCCGGCGCCGTCATCCCGCGGGCTCCCCACGACGCCCCGACGCCGTTCACGACGACGCTCCCGACACCGCTCCCTCCCCAGCCGGCTCCCGACGACGAACCTCGACGCCGTCCCGACGGCGATCTCGACGCCGTCGACGACGCTCCCGACGCCCCACCCGAGAACGCTCCCGACGCCGACCCCGACGACGCTTCTGACGCCGCTCCCCGACACTGGGCCGGCGCCCACGCCCCGACGCTGCGCCCGACCCTGCTCCCGACGACCGCCCCGGAGCCGATTCCTCCCAGGGTCGGCGCCTCCACCCCGACGCGGCCCGCGACGCTGGCCCCAACGCCGCGTTCGGCGGCAGCGGACCAGGAGGGGACCTGCCGGGAGGGAAGGCGGCGTGGATGCGTACGAGGCCCCCTGGGGGCCTCTTGGGCCGTTTTGGTGCGCTCTTGCGCCGTCTGGCCCCTCCCGGAGCCGTTTTGGAGGCCTCTCCGGGATGCCTTGCGGCTCTCTTGGGGTCATCTTGTGCCGTCTTGGGGGCCTCTTGTACCGTCTTGGGGTTTCTTTGGGCCATATGGAGGCCGTCTTGGGGTCTTCTTCGGGGCCTCTGGGGCCGTCTTGGGGCCATCGTGGAGGTTGCTTGGGCCGTCATGGGCCCCTGGGAGTCGGAAGGGGCGAGAACGCTATCCTTCAAGAGTTCTTGAAAAGTCCATGTTCTTGGCCTCTGGAAGTGCTCTCGGGGCCTCCTTGGGGCCCTCTGGGGCCGTCTTGGAGGCCTTGTGGACCCTCCTGGGGCCATCTTGGGCCGTCTTGGAACCGTCTTGGCCTGTCTCGGGGCAACCTTGGGCCGTCTTGAGGCCCTCTTTGACCCCCAAGAGGCCCAAGGGGGGCAATTACCTAACAGCGAAGACTGATAGGTTTCTAGTTGACTCAAAAGAGCTCACAGATCACTCCACAGGGGGGTCCGGGCAGGTGTTGGGGAGTTGCCGGGCGGCAGGGTGCCGGGCTCGTTTTTCACAAACAGTCACACACTTCGTGCTCTTCGACTTCCCAGAACTCCATTCCCAGGCCACATTCTGAATACCCGGATGCAACAGTCACACACTTCGTGTTCTTCGAGATCCCAGAACGCCATTCCCGGGCCACATTTAGAATAATCAGATGCAACAGTCACACACTTCGTGCTCTTCGACATCCCAGAACGCCATTCCCGGGCCACATTCTGGAGGGCCGGATGCAACAGTCACACACTTCGTGCTCTTCGAGTTCCCAGAATTCCATTCCCGGGCCACATTTTGGATGCCCGGAGCCAACTGTAGGCCACTTCCTGGTCTTCGAGTTCCCAGAACTACATTCCCGGGCCACATTTTGAATAGCCAGACGCTTCGTAGTCCTTCCGCCACAGCCGTGTTTGGTTCAGGAATTGCTAGTGACACTGCAGTCCACTGCATTCAATCGTGCCACTGCATTCACTCACTGCAGTCCACTCAGTTTCGATTGCAATGGCGTTCCCCTGGCCGTACCCCCATACCCAACGTTCATCCGCAGCCTCTGCTCCGCGAGGCTCGTCCGAAGCGTCGCCGCCTCGCGGTGCTTCTCAGCCTGCGCCGCCTCGCGGTGCTTCTCAGCCTGCGGAGGAAGGTGGACAGACGCCTGGCTCTGGCGCTGTGCAGCCTGCGTCTTTCACGGTCGCCTCGTTCAATTTCGGGTTCGAGCAGGGCATGATGACTGGTAAGCAGGCGGCCACTCACTGCGCTAACTTCGGAAGGGTGTGCGCCACGATAGTGGACACCGCTGATGCTGATATTGTCTGTGGCTGCGAGGTCGGTGCGTTCCGTGAAGGCTTTCGCCGAGCAGGGATCAACGTGACAGAGATCCTCAGTAAGCCTTTCGGTGATGGCATTCGCTTCTCGGAGGTCGACAACTACTTGACTCTCTGGGGGTTCCGCGGTGCTTCTCAGCCTGCGGAACTGACTCTGTGCGAAGACAGCAAAGTTTACAGGCCTCCTAGCGGCCGAGAGATTGATGCTGTTATTTCACATTTTGAGGTGAACAAACCAGGCCATGACAAGTTCCACGTGGTGATCGCCAACATGCACATCGTGTGCGGCAAGAAACCGCCGACCATCCAGACTCGAAAGCGGACAGTTCGCAATCTCCGCTTGCACCTGGACTGCCTGGGAAAGATTCTTGAGAATCTGAGCCAGGCAGTCGTTCTGCTTGTAGTCGGCGACGACAACCTCACTTTCCAGGAGGCGCGGGAGGCTTACCAGCGCCAGCAGAACGACGAGAAGCTCTGGGAGGTCCATGCCACTCCGGCCGACCTCAAAGGCGACCACGTCGCGGTCTGCGGAGCAGTCGCCCGTTTCTGCTCCATTGCCGTTGGCGCGTCTTTTACGGATCGTGGCATGCGCAACGACGCACACGATGCGGTGGCGGTTGTGCTCACTCTCCCTGGTGCTATTCAGCCTGGGGAGAGCAAGAGGCGGAAGATTGTCGTCGAAAACGTCTCCGACGCCGACGTCAGCGTACAGGCGGACGCCGAGTCTTCTGTGCATTGGGATCGGTCGCCGAGTTCTACTCCTCCGCTTTCACCGACTTCACCGGGTGATCCCGACTACGTCGAGGATGTCGTTCAGAATCGCGCGAACGACTTGCACAGGGAGCTGAGGCAGCTTTGGGACGACAGGTACGACGAGGAGTACGATCCGAAAGTCCTCCATCATCTCAGTCTCTTGCTTTTCAACATGATGGACCCACGAACCCGGAAAGGGATATAGACATGTGGAGCATGGGCACGTTTTCACGATACCCAACGGGGCAACACCTCACGAAACATCCCACGAGACACCTCACGAAACATCCCACGA